CCCCAAAACCCCAAAACCCCAAAACCCCAAAACCCCAAAACCCCTTTTAATACCATTTAGTTGAACTTGCTACTATAAATTTTTAAGATTTATCAATTTTGCTAAAACTAGGTCTTAAGGAAAATTATAGAGAAATTATACTGAAATTACATAGAGAAGAGACAAAAAATTTAGAATTTGCGAATGATGTAAGATCCATCACAAAAATAGACTATTAATAAAGATATCAAAAACTTAGACTAGAGATTATTAAAGCACAAAATAGTCATAGAGTAATTGGAACAAGTTAATGCATCTTACCAAGTTCGGAGATATAGTAAGAAATTTGCTCCAAAAACTTTGATGCTTCTTTAAGTTTATATGGCTCCTGGTTGTGTCCCAAACACATGTGGGTAAGATATCTGTACCTATAACGAATTTAGTGAGTAAAACTGTTATTCAACAAGATTGAAAGTCTTTCTTTGTACATTGATTTCCAAGATAATGCTATTCTTGAAAATTCAGCAAATCTAAGATATTTCTGAAAAGGTTTGTTCAGGAGAAAATTAACAACAACTCTTACTCTGTTGCATGAATGTTCAGATCAAATGAGGCGCATTTGTAAACAAATCTAATTTGTTCATCTCTCAAAGGATCTAAGCCTCATATAATCATTCTGATTGGAGGGAATTTTTTCAAAATTTCTTTTGGAATGAACTTGGGGGAAAGAGTATAATGTTGCTTGAGATGAGTCTCATCATCAACATACTCTTGGCAACATATGCTCAAAAACGAGGCATTCAGAATCGGATCATCAAGCGAAAATAAAAGAGAAGGAGAGAAAATATTCATTCCTCAGCCAATTGCAGCATAGACACTTGTGATACCATCTGGAGGCTCTATTCCTTTTTGGATTCATAACGAGGTTACCCCTAGGAGGCAGTTTCCTCCAGCAGATTCTCCGTATAGTAAGATTTTTCCAAATTTAATTCTGAGGTATTTTTCAGCATAAGTTCTGAACCATCAATATACAAGGAATCAATCACTGATAGCAGATGGGTATTTATACTCGGGAGCTAGTCTATAATCTACTGAGAATATTGGATATCCTGTATCTTTACAAAACCTTATAATAGTTGGCTGAGCTTCTCCTGAAGATCCTAATATAAATCCTCCTCCGTGAAGATGGATGATAATGGCTTCATAATAAACTGGATCTAGACTAGGATCAATAACATTCCCATAATACCAGTTAACTCTGTTCCAATCATCATTAGCAACGACTCTAACCTGGATATGTCTATCATGATCATAATCAACGTCAAGACCAACTGAGAAAGGAAGATCTAAGCTATGTGTCATCATATTTGGAGGGCTGATATCTTCAATATTAGCTGTCGTCAGCTGATCCTCAGGGTAATTTGGGATATAGATCAAGGTATTAAGACCAATACTAAAGCTAGTATCCTTAGCATTTATCCTTTTCTTAATATAGTGATTCCTCACTAGATTTATGAAACATAAAGCTTACCAATATCCATTACTTTTGCCCATCTGTCCTTATGAAGCATTGTCAGAGTAGCTTGGGAGTCTACTTTGTATCTAAAATATCAATATTTACCAAAAAATATGCCAAAACTTAACCTACAGCTCTTCTTTATCCTTATAGTAAAAAGCCCAGCTTAGAGCCTTAGTACATCTCGCAAAGAACCCTTCATCTTTAAATCCTTGATTAGCCACAGCAATGAAGTAGTTCATATTGTTGAGCCCTATAAAGTAAGTATTAAGCCAACATTTATGGACATGTCAAGAAAATTTTTCTTCGTAATTTCATTCACCACCAAAATACTTACCGGTCAACAAGTTCTTTCTATGTAATTTAACATCTTTTGGAGTGGAGAACTCAAGGCAATCAAGAAGCAGGTCAGCTTCTTCATTTAACTTATTCTTGTAAAGTATATCATTCTCATCATCAAGGGCTGCACTGAACAGGAAATCAAATAGCCTTCAGCATTTCATTGTGTAGATCAGAACATTCTTAAAAGGGTAATTCTTATTGTTATTCATTTTAACAAGATTCATATTTATCTTGAGCTGCATCAACACTCTTTCCAAGACTTTGAGTGTAATCTTCACTGCTGGGATACAGATGTACTTCTTTCCATGAACAAACTTCTCAATTTCTTCGGTTCTATTAAAAATTAATGGTGAATGTTACAGAAAATGAGGGAATACATCCTGCAGTTCAATTGAACGTTCCATAATGCATTCAGTTGAATCAAATCCTTCAGTCTTATCTATTTCAGCTTGGATTATATCTTCAATCGGCTTAAAATCTTCACTAGAGATGGAAGGATCATCTTCTTTTGCTTTTCTAATCTTCAAGTTGATCTTAAAGACAAGAAAGAGGAGTATATAAGATTCAATCTTCCAATTTCATTGATTTATAAACTCTATATAAATGTGAGACAAGTAAAGGGATGGCATACCAATATCGCTTTCTTCTGTGCCATTAAATTCATTGTCATTTTCCAAGAATGCTTCCAACTTTCCTTTGTATTTCTCTATTTGGGGTTCTCATTTCTCGATAAGTTCTAGAATTTCACCAACTAAAATAAAAGTTATAGTGAAGAATTTACTTGTTCCAGAATGCACTCTTTCAGCAACATTATGAAGCCTAAAGCTAAAAGGATCTGAATTAACTTCCTTTTCTGAAGGAAAGAAAATCTTATGCTTCTCATTTGCTGGGTCAAAAGTATTATTCAACTTAATAGTCATTTTCTTATCTAGTCTGACAGATTTAACAAAGCTTTGTCTTTCTCTAAAGTTCAGCGATTATCTTACTCCATTTTCCAAATTTTATTATCAATTAATTGCCCCATATTGGGGTTTTGGGGTTTTGGGGTTTTGGGGTTTTGGGG